GGGCTCATGCCCCGGCGTTCAGCTGCCTCTCCAGGGCCGGCGTGTGGCCTGTGGATCAGCAGGCTGAAGCGGAAAACAAGGTCTGAGAACTTGCAACTTGAGAAGATGATGGTTACCAGCCCTGCATTGCCTCAGGGAAGAACAGGAACTACTCTACCATTCTTGAAGTGAAGGTACTTAATGAGAATAGGACAGAGTGGAATGGGGTAAGTGAAGAGAAGAGGATAGAGAAAGATAGCAAGTGAGCAACAGAGAGACAGGACGTTAGTGAGAAACAGATAGGGTTTATTAATTGTTGATGATGACATGTATAGAAGTCTCAACTGGATTGGTCTGAGAAGTGTCTCATGACGGGCAAAGTATTTTTACAAGCAAAACGAGAAATAGCAATTGACTGTTTTATAAAAATAATTAGAATAATTAAGATAATGATTGGGGAAAACAGAAAAGATATGGAATGTTGAAGTGGGGAGATTAATGTCTCTGTACTGACTGACGTGCATGGCATTCCCTTTTGAAGAAACAATGTAATACACTGTAAAGTTATATGTAATCCAATGTAATATGAAGAAGATATGATGATAAAAAATAAAAAAAAAACAAAGTCAAGAACAAGAGTAGGATGCCTCTTATGACTGCTACTATTTGTCATTATTGAAAAGGCATAATCAATGCAATCAAACAAGTAAATGGGATAGAAATGTATTAAAAAGGAAGACACAAAACTGTCATTATTTACATATGAAATCATAGGCAACCTAAAAGTTCAGAGAATCAACCAACATTTTATCAGACATAATATGAGAATTGAGTAAGGTGATCAGATAAAAAAATCAAGAGGTTGGATGCACACTAACCTCAATAGGTTTCCCATGCACTGCCAATAACTAATTAGAAAGTGGAAGAAAGATCCCATTAAAAACAAGTAAAGTGCCTTGGAATAAAGTTAACAACAGATGTGTAAGATCTATGTGATGAAAACACTAAAACTCTTCTGAAGGACATTACAAAGAAATGAATACATGGTATGAGATACTCTGTTCCTAGAATATAAAGATGTCAATTCTCCTCAAAATAATTTACAAATCCACTTCAATCCTATTCAAATCCCAAGACAATTTCTTCTTAAACAAAAACCGAGCAGTTGATATTTGGTAGAGAAAATGTGCAAGAATAGCTACGAAATGTATGAAAAAGAAGATCAACAAGTAGGAGCTCTACCTATCTCTGCTCTGCTCCATTATGCATTGGAGAGCCTCTCTTAGATGACTATCTTTAAAAAAAAAAAAAAAAGTCCTCAAGAAATGAGGTTGGAATAGTCAGAGATGTAGTCATCATGACAAAACAGAAACTTGAGTAGACTTTTGATAGATTCACAGAAATTCCACAAAGAGAAATAAGATATTTTAGATGGGAAAACATACATAAGAAAAGTATCAGACATAATATGAGAATTGAGTAAGGTGATCAGATAAAAAAATCAAGAGGTTGGATGCACACTAACCTCAATAGGTTTCCCATGCACTGCCAATAACTAATTAGAAAGTGGAAGAAAGATCCCATTAAAAACAAGTAAAGTGCCTTGGAATAAAGTTAACAACAGATGTGTAAGATCTATGTGATGAAAACACTAAAACTCTTCTGAAGGACATTACAAAGAAATGAATACATGGTATGAGATACTCTGTTCCTAGAATATAAAGATGTCAATTCTCCTCAAAATAATTTACAAATCCACTTCAATCCTATTCAAATCCCAAGACAATTTCTTCTTAAACAAAAACCGAGCAGTTGATATTTGGTAGAGAAAATGTGCAAGAATAGCTACGAAATGTATGAAAAAGAAGATCAACAAGTAGGAGCTCTACCTATCTCTGCTCTGCTCCATTATGCATTGGAGAGCCTCTCTTAGATGACTATCTTAAAAAAAAAAAAAAGTCCTCAAGAAATGAGGTTGGAATAGTCAGAGATGTAGTCATCATGACAAAACAGAAACTTGAGTAGACTTTTGATAGATTCACAGAAATTCCACAAAGAGAAATAAGATATTTTAGATGGGAAAACATACATAAGAAAAGTAGAAATGGACATTGTGTAACTGAGGTATGGTGAGGGACCGCTTTAGATAAAGCAGAGGGCTGCCATAGTGGAAAAGGTAAATATAGACAGGTCAGATTGGTAAAGTGTCAAGATTATTTGCTTATTAAATCACTTCTTAAATATTCTAGAACCTGCTTGTTGGTAAAAGTAGTGAACCCTATGTAATTGAACAAAAGGTAAACAGAGACAAACTCCAGTAGTAAGCTGCTGTAATTATAGCCTGCCTTAGCATAGTCTAATGCAGAATTGATCAGTAGTGATTTAAGTGAGTCTGTCTAAATTTGCCATACACACTGGAGAAGAATAATTCTATGCAAATCTAATGACTCTATAAGATGAAATGTTTATCTTTTGGTATGTCATTTCTCCCCAGGGTTATGACAGGAGAGTGTAGATCATACACCTCATTTCAACAGAAGGTAAGAAATCAGTGGTAGAATGAGAGCAACTGGTGAGTACACCAAATCACTGATTTATTTTGGGGGCTTAAGAAATTTTGCTATCATGGGACCAGCAGTTAGCATAATGGCTATGTTGCTGGACTCCCATGTAGTCGACCGTGGTTTACGTCCTGGACCCCATGGCTTAAAACTCACGCCGGGGGCGTGTGCGTGCATGCCCAAGATCCCAAGAGGAGAATGGAGGAAAAGGGATTGCAGCGTGGCCATCCCCTTGGGGGATGATTTCTCATTTTCTATCTCTCTGTCTTTCTGTCTGTCTGGTGAGCACACACACCCTATAGCAAAAACCTCTCAAAAAAAAAAAAAAAAAAGAAAGAAAGGAAAAGAAAGAAAATTTTGTTATCATATCAACCCTGGTGTGTTTAAAACTTACTTTCTGGTGGCTGCAGGCCCTAACAGCCTGGACCCATGGCTCATCCCCCACCCCCACTTGCCTTTGGACTTCAGGTTTGTGTCTTGAGACTTTAAGATGAACTTGTGCCCCTCCCCACCCCATCAGAAGACCAGTTTAAGATAGCAGCCTTGGAAGACACCAGGCTGCCTGTGACTGCAAGCTCTAATGGCAGGGACTCATAGCTCATCCCCTCCCCTACTCGCCTTTAGACTCTCAGTACTTAAGTGTTTTGGATAGCGCACAGCACAAGTTGCAGACCAGGTGATCTGTTTTTTCACTCCTCAGGTGAAGCTCAGCAGCTTAGTTGGATGCGCATCTTTTCTTTAGAAACAGGGAGGACTTTGGGTCACCCAGGACCAGTGACAACAGTGCAGGGTACTGGTGAGCAACAGGGAGGGAGAGCAGAAGATAGATGACCAATTTTCTACTCCCACACACCTTTAAATGCTCCTTAGGAAGAAACGTGTATATCACTAGGTGACTAGGAACAATCTCAGAGGCACAAGAAATATGAGCAACCAACAAAACATCTCTCCCCAAGGGAAAACATCAATTCCACATCACCCACAGACAACACAATGGGAGTCGTATGTTTGATAAGCAATTCAGAATTTTTGTAGTGGCCAAAATAATTGAGATGCAAGAGAAAAAAGACAACGAGATCCAGGAGATGAGGACGTCCCTTCATAATTTTAAACAAGAAATAGACACGTTAAAAAAAAAAGAATCAAATGGAATTGTTAGGGATGAAGAACATCATAGAGGAAATTAAGACCTCCCTCGAAAGTATTAAAAGTAGATTAGATTATGCAGAAGATCGAATCTCAAATGTAGAAGTCAAAACCTCTGACCTCAAAAAATGTATCAAAAATATTGAGAAAACAACCAAGAAAAATGAGGATAAAATATGAGAAATATCAGACACCATCAAGTGCCCCAATACCCAGATAATTGGTACCCCAGAAAAAGAAGAAAATATTAAGGGCATTGATCATTTATTTCATGAAATCCTGGAAGAAAACTTTCCAAACCTAGAGAGGCATTCAATTATCCAGATCCAAGAAACAGATAGGACCCCAAATATAATCAACCCAAGAAGATCCCCTCCAAGGTACAGTGTAGCCAAATTGGCCAAAAC